AAATTTACATCTAGATAAAGCAACGTTTGCTCTACAAAACTACCCAAGTCCGAGACCTCTATCTTTTTTGTTTGGAAGCTATAGGCATTTTACTGTAACCACTTGGGCATCCTTGGAACCGACCATCTTTGGGATTTGGATCCTCAGTAATATATGCAAACATAGGTTTTCAACTATGCTATGCCGATTCTCCTGGCGATGTTTGTTTTCCGAAAAAGACTCAAAAACCTATAGCTTCCCAACAAAAAAGATAGAGGTCTCGGACTTGTGTAGTTTTGTAGAGCAAACGTTGCTTTATCCAGATGTAAATTTAGGACAAAAATTTTATCTAGAATCCTTTCCATGGCACTGCCGAACGTTTTGTTCGAGAAAGTACATCACCTGAAACTTGTAGTTTTCAGATCATTTTTAGGTCGTTCGATGGCCCCATGAATTTATTTCAAAATGATGAAAAATCAGAACTCTCTAGCTCATTCCGATCAAACGTTATTCAGAAAACATCCGAGTGCACTGCTTTTTTGACGCCGGTACTAGCAAAGTATGAAGGTACATTAGGGAGGAGGCGCTAGATGTTTTATTGTTTGCTTACTTGTAATACCATGTTGCCAACAATGTTAATACTATCACGAGCAAACTCACAATTGCTGTAAAATATATCCAAGCCAAAAATGGATCTAAAATCGAATCAACAAAAGAATTTATTTAAATGATTCTACAATGATAAAAGAGCGCGTATACTTTTTGGTTGAATACATCGACTCCCATCAAAGCCACAGAATGGAATGTCATTTGGAGTTTTCGTTAGTTTATCGATCCAGTAAATTTCACGTAACGAAACAAATGTTGAATTTACGCCAAAGTATGTACCAACTTCCTGAAATACATCTCTCATTATAGTGCCCTCTAATCACTACAAAAATTATTTTTCTTACCAAAAATTCATCTGTATCTGGATCGAGATCAAACAGTGAATAATCGCTTACTGGATCTCCAGTTTCACTAATTTGAACGATACCATTTGAACCTTGGAAAGAAAAAATGAGTTTAGTTTTTACATCAGTACTTTGATCATCTTCGATTTGGTACCTTCAAAACTAGAATTCCACATATTTTTAACGACACTGAAACCGTCACTTGCATTTCCATGCGTAGCAATAGTTCGATTTAAGCCATATGCATAGAGAAGAACAGCGTCATAAAATGTAGCTACATAAGGATTAACCTGAAAATATCACATCGAGTGATATTGTTATATTTTAGTTATTTCTATTCATTCTTACTAATTTATTCGATAATGACGATTGATTTGTTATTGTTGTTTGTTCAAATACTTTATCTGAGAATCGTTGATATTTGTCGGTATCCGGTTCTTTGAAACCGATAATCAGCACGGTTTCAAATGCTCGGCGAATCTTTTTATTCTCAGTTTCACTTACATCACTTCTTTTCCAATTTAGCAAGCTTAAATCTTTTCTGTAAATAAAAAACGACGTAAAATGAGCATGTAATCTTAGAAAACATGATAGAATTCTTTTAATCACGCAATGACTTCATAATTACAAACAACAAGTTACATTATATGCATCTTTGTAGATTTTTCGTGACTACAACTATTTTTCAATATGGTCTAGTGTGAAAGACAATAGATCTCATAACAAGGCCGTCGAATTACTATGATGAAGTTGAAAAGTTAAGTGCTAGTCGCTATAGGCGAAAGTTGTTTTAATATCAAACCGCCAACAGCAATATAAAAAAGATTTTCTCTTACAAGTGTACTGTAGTTGAGAGATCTAACTGAGCGTCACTGGGGAAGTTGAAAACTCTGATTCGAGTATAATAAAGTTAAAATAATTGAGTTTGTCTGCCGAAAACTACGTGTCTTAGCATCATATTTGTACAATTCATTGAATATTAAAATGGGAAGGATCGTCACTTATTCTTCAATCATTTCTATAGTCCAATGTTGGTAACAAGAAGATTTTGGTAAAATAGTGTGTTTACCTTAGAAGTCGAAATATATCCAAGTAGATAAATACGTATTCACCATTAATCATATCAAGACTGTGTGCTGTAAGCATAAATTCGCGAAATAAATTTGAATCCATACATGTTAGTAAAACTAAAATACGAACGAAATATACGATAATAAATATATATCTAAAATCATTATTTTTTGCTTACTTCTAGCTTCTTTTTTTGCATCTTTTAATGTTTTATTTAATTTTTCTCTCGTTTCATTTCTTAGTTTATAATCAATATCGAATATTGAATGTGAACATGTCTCTTTCATTTCCGCACTAGCACTTGAATTTTTTACTGCTCGACATAATGCACCCATCAACATATAACATTCACTCTTTAAAAAGTGACGCAGAGTTAAATTATTTAAGTTTAATTCATGTAAAATTAGAGCTTACTTGTGCTTCAGCTATATTTCGTTCAGCAATAATCCTTACTACGGTCCAATTAAAATGTGGTAATATATTACGCGATATGAAACGTACAATTGTCTTTGATGAATGTAGCATTCGTGTTAATAATTGATATTCTTTCTTATTATCAAAATGATAATTAAAACCCCCACCGGGACTTATCACAGGAATTTTCCAATGAGGTGAATACCTATGAAACAAAATCGACTAATCCTAATTAATAATAACATAAATTATTAAAATAATACCTTGCAACAGCAGCCAGACCCGGTCCATCAACTGGGCCTAAAAATACATCAGCTTGCTGTTTTGCATAAAAATCAATTGCAATTAATGGTCCCAAAATATATGAATTATTAGTATCACCATATCTAGAATAGTAAATTAATATTATACTTTCTCATTTAACTAATAAGACAAAAACTTAGCTTCTTTCTTCTTACCGAACTTGTATAGTTTGATTTATTAATAACTGTCGATTAGTAACTTCTTTGACAGCTAAATCAATTGCTGGTTTTACTTTTACCATAGCATATGGTGATGTGAGATCGGTTGGCAATAGTACCGCAATTCTCACACCATAAATAATCCATACAATATTATTAAAAGAAAATATCAAGATGAACAAAGATGTTGTCATCATCATCATCATCTTGTAAAATAAAAATTGTTGTCCTTGTTTGATCTTTGATTACATTTATGTTAGACATGAATAAATTGTAATATACACGGTAATTAATGACTATCACACATAAAGAATTATGTATTGAACCATCTATAACACAAGAACGACCTGTATAATAACCATTAATCATTAGACGGAATAATGCTTAGACATTTCCGCTTTCGTTTCGTTTTTTTTTCAATTTTTTTTTTTTTTTTTATATCATAGGAAACACTGTTATCTGTACTAGTTAGTCTTCAGAGAAATGTATAGATAATAGAAAGAAAAAAAGTCAAAGAAATAATTTTTCATGAAAAGAAGAAGAGAAATATTTAATAACATCATTATGATCAGCTGTCAAGAAATAAGAAACTATAGAATCTTTATCGCACCAACAAACTACTTTGTATTCATTCGTTTTTTTCTTGTTCTTTTCTCTTTTTTTTTCATTCTATTACTTCTAAAAATCATTCATTCATTCATTGTGTATATTTAAAAGAATAGATAAAACTATTAATAAAAAAAGAGTTTCAAAACCTTTCATTTGAAACATATCTATTAATCATGCGTGTAAATTTTTTAATAAAATATTTTCAGATTATTACACAATATTAAATGTTAATCAATATCCTATTTTTATTTTTTGTTACCTTTTAAACAATGTGTAATAATAAATTATATTCTTTATGCACAAATCAATCAGTCTAATATGTTTATATGTGGCATGAGTTATTTTGATGATTGTGTTATAGATTCTCCAAATATATTTATTTATATCATGTATATAGGCATAACACTTATCTATTCAGACATCTGTATATTAGTTAGTTATTTCATTACTAGTGTGTATGCGTGTGTGTGTGTGTGTATGTATGTGTTCGTATTTTTCTTTCTTTTGTTTGAACCGGAAAAGTCCTATATATTTTGTTTATATGTGTATGGTTTAATAGTTATTTTGTTCTGATGATACTATAGTTATATGAACAATCTTAAGTATGCATGTGACATCATACACACTTATACTTCTTCGAGAAGTAGTAGAATGAATTATGAGCATACAGTTATTTGTAGATTTTGTAACCGACTGTGATGAAATCTTATAGTACTCAATAATCATGAATTTTAATGTGAAAATCTGTGCAAATTGAATATGGTTTGTCGGAGTTTATCATCATAAATTGATGTTATATTTTCCAATTGATTAGACTCGTAGACTATATATTTGATAAGATAAAAACTAATTTGATTTTTATAACTAATAGCAACGTTCGAAATGTCAAAAAACTAGTTGTTGCCATACTGTAAAAGATCAAAATGAGTTTCAAGTATACTATTGTATAAAAACCTTGAACATTGGATAAAAGTGCCTATCAAAGTGAGATGAACAACCATTTGTTCTATTCAATCTAGTAAGCAAAGTGAATAGCCATTTTAACTATTAATAACCCACATTTTATCTATCTATATTCACACCATAGAAGCAAATCTAAATTCCTTCTAACCTGCCTAGTATACATAGTGTGAACTGGAGTAACAGATACACAGATAAACAGTGGTATATATATATATATTTATTACTAAAAATACACTTTATTGAACGATAAGTAATGGTCCATGAAGAATAATAACGAGTGTGAGAGGAAGAAAGAAAAAAGGGCAAAATATCTTAAAGATAAAAATAGAAACAATGACATAAAAACGAAGAGAGGTACACATATTGTGTTTTTAAGATCCATATAGACTATAGTTCTTGAAAATATTTTTCCTCCGCAAAAGAAAATATGAGATGCGCCCAAACCTAATATAAAATACAAGATAATAGTGGTGAAAAAAAGAAAGTCATTTTTCCCACATAAAGTGAAAAAAAAATGAGAGGCTCAAATTAATTATACGCATTATCAAGAAACTCTGTGTAATACAGTAGTCTGCACATTTTTAAATAAATAAAAAACAGAGATGATGTTAATGAGAATAACAACATTGCCTTTCTCAAATATCAAGAGATGTCACATTAAAATAATAGTGAAAGAAAATCTCCAGATATAATTTCTAAAAGAAATTGCTAAAAGAGTTACATTTAAAATGTAGATCTTAGAAATTTAACTAATAAAAAAATTTCTGCCAATTATTCCAATTATGTCCAATTACAAATTTCATTACGCTAAAATTTTGAAAGATTCAAAATGAGTTATATTTATAATAATTTCCGGAAAAACGATTACGTCAGTTCTATCAATAATTCAAATACGAAGAAGAGAAGAAAATTTCTAATTTTTTTATCTTCATCTTATTCAGTATCTCAAATATTTGAACGAACTCTCATCCATAACCACTTGAAAAAATCGAAACGCATTTAAACGGTTGAAAAACGAGTTTTTATTTTTTAAAAAAAGTTGCTCTGTGACACAGCATATAAAAGATTGAAGAAAATACTCACAGAGAACAAAACAAGGTTATATTGATAGAAATTAAGATTACTTAAATCCTCTTTTTTGACCCTCTTGGAAATCGGGGAAGCCTATGTCAAATCGAGATATATCGGAGATAGGACATCGAAAAAGAAAATCGATCTATTTTTACCCAGAATTTTCTGATGTGCCCTTCTATGGGTTTTCTAGAAAACTCCAGTTTTCATTGGATCACATTACGATTCCTCGAAAAACTGGTCCAATCGCTCAAAATTTTACCACAAATAGTTTAGACCCTATCTCAGGATGTAAGTTTTTCTTTTCGAAAAATATGCTTTCCTTCTCGAGATATGCAAAAAAGACTAAAAATCTTGTATAAAAACCGATTTTTTATTTTCAAAACCTTCTCACGTCGAAAGTTGAAATCGAAAACGATTAAGAAAAATTTACATCCTGAGACAGAGTGTAAAGTATCTGGGATAAAACTTTGAGCTGGATCGGACCAGTTTTTCGAGGGATCGTAATGTGACCCGATTGAAGGAACTATCGAAAAAACGTATAATGAGAAAAACACGTATTCTACATAGGGTCTGTTTTTTAGGACATTTGAGTGATACGTATATCTCCACGAAAACTCATCGGAAAATTCTGAAAGACGTCTCATTTTGAAGAGCACACTTTCTTCTATCGTGCTAAGTAAAAGAAAAAATTTCGAATATATAGCAATGAAGAGAAAAATTTATCAACCTAAAAAATTGAGATTTTCGATGCTTTGGAGGAAAAACTTCATAATTTTTTCAAGGAAGGTCATGAAGAGCTGGGAGTGGTCTCATTTTATAGCCCAGACTTTCCTCTATATTAAACTATGTTCAGCTCAAAATGAAAGTTTTCTGCAAAAAAGCGGAGGGGAGTACCCTTAACTAGAATCATCACTGGTAAATAAACCACTAGAAACCAAAGTTGTTAGTAATTATTTACATGCATTTAACATTAAGCTAAGATGTTAGCAGTTCATCAGCCAAGTGTTGTAACTACCGTTTCGAGACATCGAACCTTGGGACAATCTTTGAATTTGTAGTATCCCAGCAACAGGTTCTAAGACCATGTTGCTACTGCAGATTAATTCTAACATATACTGTATATCTCTTAATAAACAGGGTTATGATTAAAAAAAAAGAAGACAAAATTCTATGTCTGCTGACACCTTAGTTTAATGTTAAGTGCATGTTAGTAATTACTAAAAACTTTGGTATCAAGATTATACTGTGTTTTTATTTATGCTTTTTTTTCTAATCATACAATATTAACTCTTTCTTTCCAATGGTTAAGCCTGAGGGTTCGAAAATGAAATTTACTCAAAAACACTTTTTTTATCGGATGGTCCAGAAATAATAAAAGGCTTCTTTTTTAGATTTTTTCGCAAGGTATTCATCGAGTACGAATTTGCGCTTAAACTCTTTGATTAAGAATTTAATTATCTGTAACACTAGCTGGCTTCGTTTAGAACTAGTCTTTCTTATTGTCGACAGTAAGAAAAAGTAAAATATGCTAAATAATCGTACTGCCGTATCGCAAATCACATCCTGTTCTACAATGAAGTCAACTTTATACTTTGAATGCACAAAAAAGTTCCTCGTGAAATTCTGAATCCTTTGACCTTTACAATTTTCAGATTACAGTTTTGAGTCATAGTGGAAAATCAAAGAAGCAGTATATAAAGAATTTTTGATTTATCTTTGATCATACTCAATTTTCCATCTTTTTAACGTAAATCAAGATCTCTTATAAAAACTAATAGGATTTTGTAGAGAATTATAAATACTTAATCGAATACGCTAAAACACAAATTCTTACTCGATGAATACCTACGAACAAATCTAAAAAGAAGCCTGTCATTATTTCTAGACCATCCAATAATGACACCTAATTTGATAAAAGTTTGAAATAAAACGTGACCCTATTGACGTACTTTTTATGGCGTGTTCTTGTGTACTGGGTTGAATGTCGAAAATCTTTTATAATCGATAATTGATTGTTAATTTGAAACCTCATCTAATAAGCTTTAAGATGATGTAAAATTTAATTCCGGTATGTGTATGACTTACAGGTCATACGATATAATAATCAAAAAATGGTATTTATAAATACTATCGGAAAAGGAGGAGTTAAGGTGGCCTTGAGTTGTAAAGTCTAAAACCACTGAAAACTTTTGGGAGATGTCTCATTATGAAGACATTTCGCTCTATCAGACTATGCATATGACAAATTTTTGAATGCACTGAAATAGAGACGAAAATTAATATAACTAAAAAATGAGTATTTTTTTATCGTTTGAAAGAGAAAAAACTTAAAAAATTCATAACTTTTGAAAAAGAAAATTATATGGGAAATTAGTCTTATTTTGTAGTTCAGACTTTCTTCTAGATTAACCTATATGGTTAGCTAAAAATCGAAATATTTTTCTAAAAAGAGGGAATACACTGACAAGCAGATCTTTAGTGAATAATGAAGTTTGTTGCAAAAATTAATATTTAAGGCAGTTTAACGTAAGCAATATTTCTAGCTGCA